ACCGAGTAACTAGTAATGAAAATACGACTGGACAGGAACGTGGGAGGAAAAACAAAACAAAAGAAATGGGCTTCATCATACGCTCGAACTGCCCTCTTCCGCTCCTTATCCGCTACGCGACGCTGCTTGTGTCGTTGCAGGCGCAAGCCGTCCTCGGGATCCATTTACAACTTCTTCTTGGAGTCGCAATAGCCGATAAGGGGACTGTAGTAGATAGCGAGAGAGGGCGGCAGCAGCGGACTGTGCCGATCAACAGGGCCAGGCGAGGACCCGGGCCGGTGGTGGAGGACTCTCTCTGTCTATGTTCGTCTCTCTGTGTCTCTGGCTTGGTCTTCTTTGTGTGTAGGGAGGTTCGTTTAGGCTCTCCGCGGAAAGTGTTTCCCAAGTGACCCCGCCGTAACGAAGGAGGCCCGTGTTCAGAAAGGAAGGTCTGGTCCTGTCTCTCAATGCCCTTGCAAATTCCTCGGAATTGGGAGTGGGCAAGTTATGCGGGTGGATAAAGGAATGAGTGAGTGAGTGAATGAGAGTGGTTGTTCCGAGTTTGTGTGTGAGGGGAGCTAAGATAGGCCTGCTGGCGCTGACTCTCTGGCTGCGTCTACTACCTGAGTCCTTCGCGCGCCCCATTTCCCAGAAGGCCAGAAGGGGAGGGGGTCGGGGAGGCAGAAGTTCGGCGAAACCTCCAGCGCCGCGGTCGGCGGGGGGGTCGGAGGGGAGCGGACCCGCTGTTTTTTGGTGACCAAGACGCGGGGAAGCCGGCTATATCCTGGTCGGAGCCGAAATGTTGCATGATGCACAAACCCAGGAACCCAGATTCTGGAGTTGCCTTGACTCGTGGTGCGGCATCTGACTGTGTTCTAGACTCGTTCACTTTAGAAGACTCCAATTCAAACTATAGGTAGACAGTCGATGTTGAGTGATGCATTCGCTGACATGGAGAAAGCTCTTACGAGGGGGAAAAGCAAGGAACAAGAGGTTTCTCGAGCTCGAGGATTCGAGGTTGTGTTATTGTACAGAGTAGACCAGTCTCTTATTGACTTATCGTCATATTAGTCAGAGTCGTGGCCCGTATCCCCTTCAAAGCTTCGCCTTCACATCATCCTCCCACAAAGACTTGAGTCCGTCCTCGAGCGGGCTATCGATCCTCTCGATCCTCGCTCTCGACGTCTCCATGATGCTCGGCAGCCCCGTGCTCTCAAATGAAGCCCCATCGCGAATCATGGCCGCCACGCCTTTACTCGAGAGCAGAATCTCCGGCATGCCGTGACCAGAAAATCCGGCAATGATGTACTGCCCCGGCTTCCCAGGCACACCACCCAGATGCGGCATGAAATCGGAGCTGTACCCCATGATGCCCGTCCACACCCTCTCCGTCGTCGCGCCGCTCTCCTCCCACCCGCGGAAGTGCCTCTGCATGTACCCGTCAAAGTACGGCGACGCGCCCTTCACTAGCTCGTCGTCCCGGACGTTGTCGAACCACTCGCCGCGCTTATGCCAAAACATCTGCCGCGCGCCGCCGACGACGATGCTCCCGTCCGCCCGGGGGATGAGGTAGTCGTTGTTTCGCGCGTCGAAGCGGATGCCGTACGTGTTGACCAGGTGCGGGCCGTTGGGGCCCCCCGGGGTGGTGATGCGGCTGCAGAGGCCGCGGACGGGGACTATGCGGTCTTCGTATTGTGGGAGGACTTGAGCTGTGTAGCCGTTTGTGGCTACGACGACTGTGCCGGCGCTGATGGCGCCGCGCGGGGTCTGGATTGTCCAGCGGCCGGCGGCGTCGGGCGTTGATGAGATCGATGTTACTGGCGTGTTGGCTTGTAGGTTCAACCCCTTTTTGAGGAGGCGGTCTAGTAGCTGGTGGACCATTTTTGCTGGCCATAGATGTGCTGCTGTGAAAGAGAAGGCGCATTGAGCGCCCTTGACTCCTGAGACCTGTGTTTGGATGATTAGTCTATATCTCTCATCATCGATGTTGGGGGGGAATAGACTTACCCTTTCAGCATCCTTCTTTGGAGTGAAAGCAACATCCTTCATATTCACGACCCCCGCCTTCACTAATTCCCGATACGCAGCCTCAGTCTCCTTGGCATGCTCCGGATCAAGATACACATCAACCGCCCTTGTCAAGTGGAAGTCGCAATCTAAGCCCTCACTCTCCACGAGCTCCTTGACGGCGTACACATTCGAGGCCTCAAACGCGGCCAACGCGGCTGCCTGCTCGGGACCAAAGAGCTTGGTGTACTTTGGCACCTGGAAATACGTGTCGGGCTTGACGTGCCCGCCGTTGCGACCCGAGGCGCCGGAACACACCTTCCTGGCCTCGAGGATGGTGATGGACGGCGGGGATGGGTTGTCCTTGAGGATGTGGTAGGCCGTGGCGACGCCCGCGAAGCCGGCGCCGACGATGACGATGTCGCTCGCGGCGGGGAGGTCCGGGGTGGTGCGGTGGTCGTCGAGGGGGCGGGGGGCGGCGTTCCAGAAGGAGGGGACGGGGTTGGAGACCGGGGTCCGGTTTGTCGGCTTTGGTGCGGGCATGGCTTGGGGTGTGACGGGATGAGAGGTGGGCTTGGCAAGCTTCTTTCGGGCTTCCCTTTTTCACAATAGGAGGGGCAAAGGTTCACTGGGCAGGCTAGAAGTGAAGCCCGAGCTGATAAGCAATACGCGTGGACTTTCTATATACCAATGTTGGGGAAAACAAGCGCTTCTTTGGGCTGGTACGACTATCAACGTACGAACCGGCACGTTGCAATGAACCAACGTGCCGTTGAAGCTCAATTGGGGCTGCTAAGAAGCACTGGAGGCCGGCAAACCGAGATAAGATGCATCGGGCATGGGACCCATACCCACCGATATCTCTCTGGTTCTAGCTCCGGATCACGGGTGGATGTTAGTGCTTCTTGGAGGGGTTTGTGACGGAAAACACGGCGAGTGTCCGAGACCGGAGGCCGAGCCGGCGGCGGGGGAGGACGGGACCGGCAATTTGCCGGGTCCTCTCTTTTTCTCTCTAAGGTGTGATAAGCAAATGACAGACGCCCAGTGACATTTGATGAAGGATATCCACAGCGAATCAGCTTCAACCAACAACCCGAGAACGATATCTTTCTTCACAGTAGAAAACAATGCATGAAGATTAGTCATTTTGGTCATTATTCCGGGGGAGTTTACCGCTTAGAAAAGCGAGAGGGAGGACTAAACACCCCCATGATCTTTCCCCCATCACACGGATAAGGATTCCCCCTCCCCATCACGCCGTTTACGCCGCGGCCGCCCCCTCCGAAGCGGCTATAATCTTCCGCGCCATGTCCGGCAACTCGGTCGCCATGACATCCATCTCCCCAAACAAATCCGTACACGGCTCCCCCTCGTACACGGCGCACCACGCCCCCTTGAACCCGCACCCCTTGGCCGCCGACGCATCCCACATGTGCGCCGCCGCGAACCACGCCTCCTCCCCGCCAAAGCTCTCCAGCACGGGCTTGTACGCCCTGGGGTCCGGCTTGCCGATGCCGTCCGCGTCGCAGCTCTTGAGGTTCTCCGCGGGCATGTCGATGCCCGCCTTGGCAAAGTACCCGCCCACGCGCTTCGCGTCGCCCGCCGTGAAGGCCCAGACTGTGAAGCCGGCTTCTCGCAGCAGCGTGAAACACTCCTTTGTGCCGGGCCGGGCCTCGAGCTCGAGGAAACGGTCCATGATGTAGGCTACGTCGTCGTCGGTGGCGAGTTTGCGCGGTTCGGGGACGCCGGCTTGGAAGAGCATGCGGTAGAAGAGGCTGCGGAAGATGTCGTAGAAGCGGCGGTAGCGGCCTTGGATGGAGAGGTAGGTGTACTCGCGCTCGGCGGCCTCGATCCAGGCGAAGCTGAGGAGGGCGGGCTTGATGTTGTGTTGTGCGAGTTTGGGGCCGAGACGGGTTTCGATGGCGCGGGGGATGGCGTCGTAGGACATGCAGGTGCCTACGATGTCGAAGACGACGTGTTTCTTTGGTGATGACATGTTTGTATGTGTGTGTGTGTGTGTGTGTGTGTGTGTGTGTGTGTGTGAAGGAGCGTTCACGAAGTGATTTTGATTAAGTGTGTGAAGAACCTCTTTTTGGGTAAGGTGAGTTTGCGTGATTGCGAACCTGGTCTTGAAGGTTTATATGAGACCATCACGAACTTTTCAGCCATTGAAAATAGACCATTATCAAGAAAAAAAGGTGATAGATAGCCTCATCACCGGTGCGCATCATCGCCCTATCTCGGCGCCTAGGCCCGCGGGGATGAGCGGGGTACGGTGTACCACCGCACGTGTCATGCCGCGACGATCCTTGTTACCCCAGCCGGCTGCTCTGGCGGATCCGACGAACCGGTTGCGTATCACTCGACGGGGCGACCAGTCCCGAGAGGGGGATGCCCCGAAAATAGAGACCGCAGGTATTTCCCGGTTCTTGCATGATAAGCTACCGGCCGCCAGCCGCGCTACCCGTTGGTTCCGCCCGGTAGTCAGTATCCCCTTCCCGACTAAGACTGTGCGGTGCGGTGGTAGCTTTACCCGACTAGCCATCTGTCGGACAAAGATCGTGGGGAGGGGGTCCTGAATGGGTACACTAGAAATGTGTGTTTTACTTATCGTTGAGGCTTGCGACTCAAGGCCTTTGGAAGATTGATCTCACGGAGAACTTGTCATATTACCCGAGTCAGCCATCCATACCAAGATGAAGGTGGGAACTATTGGTGATGGCTTTGACTTGACAGCTTTTTGTCCATAGAAAAACATGCGTCAGTTACTCGAGTCTTCAACCAAGTTGCCCCATTCCGTTTGAGAGTTCACTATGAGAAGGTTGAGGAGATATGTTCCGTTTTCAAGGCCATCATCGGCTCTGTCATTATGGTATCAAAAAGAAAAAGATCTCCCTAAACCGTGATCCCCACCTTGGGTCTACCGTCGGAGCTGTAAATCCATGCTATGCTAAATCCGCCAAATTTTTGATTTCTTTTCCCGTCCATGCCATGCTTTCGTGATAAAATGTTGTTTACAATGAAGAAAAGGTCTTCTCAAATGCAGAGATCAAAATGGGCACTGTAGAGATGTATGTTAGACTCCTGGTCGTATAAGATAAGGTGAGTGTTTCTTCAAGAGACTTACCATGCGCCTCCTCAAAGATGAGCATGGGGCGGAGACGGATGGTCTCCTTGCCGCAAGCGCCAATGTTGACGCCGAGGCGCTTCATCGAGCTCGTGACGGCAGCCGCGCTCTGGGTGTCGAAGGCGACGTAGGTGCCCTGGCCCTTGCCGCGAAGGTTCATGACGTGGTCGGGGTACTTTTGGGCGAGCTTCTCCATCTCGGCGTAGAGGACTTCACCAACGCGAGCCTATAGCACGTGTGAGTTTGTAACTCATGATGAGTCTGGAATGGTTAACTTACGGTCTGCTCTACGAGCTTCTTCTCGCGGATCTCGTCAATAACTGCCTTGCAGACGATGACGCGGGCGGCATCACCCATCCAGCTGCAGGCTCGTTAGCGGTGGTTCAGTTAAAGACGACGATGAAAGGGATGACATACGTGTTGAACTGGCGGTAAGCCTTGTCGGGGACCAGCATGCGGTCGCCAAAGTAGTAGCCGGCAGTCTGGGCCTTCTTGGAGAAGGTGACGATGTCGGGAGGGGAGGTGAGGTTCCAGTGAGCGTGGCCCCAGAACTTGCCAGTAGCGCCGAAGCCTAATCAACATATGAGTGCGACTGCATAAATTTTTCATATCAAGGAGAGCCACTCACCAGTCTGGACCTCATCAACAATCATGACAACAGCATGCTTCTGCGTGATGTCGCGCAGACCTTGGAAGAAGGCAGGGGAAGCGTGGTTATCGCCGCCCTCGGACTGGATAGGCTCAACGATAACAGCAGCAACGGGGCAGTGCCAGCTCTGAATCAGCTCCTCCACCTCCTTCAGGCAGCGCTTCTCCTCGGCCTCGTTCTCGGCCGCGTACTTGTCCAGGGGGTACTTGAGCGCCGGGAACGAAGCCTGGGGCCAGTTGAACGAGGGGATATCGAGCTTGTGCACGGCCTTGCTGCGCGTGGTGGACAAGCTGCCGAAGCCGCGTCCGTGGAAGGAGTTCTTGAAGCTCATGATGGCCAGCTCGGGGGAACCGGGGGTGGTGTTGTGCAGGCACGAGTGGATCTCCTCGTGCGACCACTCGGCCTCGCCGCGCTCGCGGCGGCGGTAGAGCATGAAGGCGGCCTTGTAGGCCAGCTCGTTGGCCTCGGAGCCGGACTGGGCGGTGAAAATGTGGTTGAGTCCCTCCGGGGCGGCCTTCATGAGGCCGTTCTGGAGGAGGTCGTGCCAGGCGCCCGAGGGGAAGTTGCCGATGGCGGGTCTGTTGACGAGGGCGGAGATCATCTCGGGGGACTTGGCGGCCTCGATGAGGGTGGGGTTGTTGTAGCCTACCGGGATGGAGGCGATCTGGGAGTAACTGTTTTGAGAACCGGGGGAGATTAGCGAGATGCGGGTCGATTGTGGTGTGCCCGGCGAGGTGATCGGCGGCTGCGGCTCCGGGGAGTGGACTTACACATCGAGGTACTTGTTGCCGTCAACGTCGACGATGCTACAAAGCACCTGTTGTTAGCACGAGGTTCTACCAAGACAGCCGATGGTTGCTGCGTACTAGTTTCCGGAACTCTTGTCGTAGTCGACGACGAAGTGAACGGCGCGGGCGTCAAAGAAGGTATCGAGCTTCTTTGCGCTGGCCTTGGAGATAGGTCCAGGGACCTCCGTAGTGACCGAGTGCTCAATAACAGCGGGCATCTTGAAGGTCTGGTATTGATCTGAGCAACTGAGCTGTGGTGATCTTGTAAATGAGTCTCGGAGAAGGTGCGATACAGTGTAAGGTGTATGTATATCTGTTTTTTTCAGAGACTCTTGAAGCTTGCTTGATACAAAAACCCATCGTCAAGTGTTGGGAGATCGCGTATTTATCGTCCGTGGTTACGCCCGAAAGCTTCCGTTCGCCCCTTCTGCGTGTGGGAGCCGGGCACGAGCCGGCCGGTCCCGAACCGGCGCCCCATCCGGGCCCAGGCCAAGGCGTAAGAGTGAACCCCGCCAAATCTCCATTGAATCTAGCATGACCCATCCTTAAAATCCCGATTGCGGCTCATTCCAAACACACTGTGCATTGAGGCGTTCTGGGGCGAGAGTTTTAGTGTACAGAATTGGTCTATTTTCTTGCCATTTTCAGCGGGTTCAAATCACAAGATGTGTCAAACCCCCCTCCGAGTGCCCCACTCCGGGCCCGGGCCGGTCCCACTCAAAACCACAATTGTCGTTCCCACACCGGTATCAGACAGGCGACAACGATATCGCACTGTCGCCAACTTTGACGCCATCGTGAAAGGGTTCATATAAACAGTCGACCGCATGAGGCTGTCCGGCTTACCGCGGTGTTTCTGTAGTCATCAGACCACTTTTCTGCAGGAACCAAGATCGAGGTGCATTACTTTTACTCACAATGGCATCAGCACATCAAGTAAGTGGGGTCCTCCCGTTAGAGGACATGAGCCTCTTAGTGAATGTCATTTGTTTGCTAAACTATTGTGATGTTACAGTTGAAAGATGCTTCCCTGCTGAAGACATCATGCTTGGTCAACGGGCAATGGATTGGCGCCAAATCTGAGAAAGTATTCTCAGTCGAGAGTGAGTAGTTCACCACCACATCAACTCGGCAGGAGCAGCCAAGCTGACACTCTCACCAGACCCTTCAACCCTCACCGAGGTAGCAAAGTGTCCCGAGTTCGACGAAGCCGACACCGAAGCATCCATCCTCGCCGCCCACGATGCCTTCAAATCCTTCCGCAAGACCCCGGCACGCGCCAGAGCGCGCCTCCTTCGGAAATGGTTCGACCTCATGATGGAAAACGCCGACGACCTCGCCAAGATCATCACCCTGGAGAACGGCAAGCCTCTGGCCGACGCAAAGACGGAAGTCAGCTACGCCGCCTCCTTTTTCGAGTGGTTCTCCGAGGAGGCGCCCCGGATCTACGGCGACACCATCCAGGCGAGTAACCCAAGCTGCCGCCTCGTCACTCTCAAGGAGCCTATCGGCGTTTGCGGCCTCATCGCGCCGTGGAACTTCCCTGCGGCCATGATTACACGCAAGGTCGGCCCCGCGCTGGCGGCCGGGTGTACCGTCGTCGTCAAGGCACCGGCCGAGGCACCCCTGACGGCGCTGGCTCTCGCCGAGCTCGCTCATCGCGCGGGTATCCCTGCGGGCGTGGTGAACATCATCACGGCCCTGGATAACACCATTTCCGTAGGGAAAGTGCTGACGACGCACCCGGTCATCAAGAAAGTGTCCTTCACCGGCTCGACGGGCGTCGGAAAGCTGCTGATGAACCAATGCTCCTCAACACTCAAGAAGTTGTCCTTTGAGCTCGGCGGCAACGCCCCCTTCATCGTCTTCGAAGACGCCGATCTAGACGCGGCGCTCAAGGGCCTCATCGCGTCCAAGTTCAGAATCTCGGGCCAGACGTGCGTGTGCGCCAACCGGATCCTGGTCCACAGCAGCGTGTACGACAAGTTCTCGCAGATGGTCGTGGACGCCATCAAGACCTTTACCGTCGGCGACGGGTTCGCCGAGACAACGACGCACGGCCCGCTGATTCACAACCGCGCCGTCGCCAAGGTCGGCGAGCACGTCAAGGATGCCGTCGCCAAGGGCGCGCGGGTGCTTCTCGGCGGCAAGCCCCTGACCGAGCTGGGTTCCAACTACTTTGACCTCACTGTGCTGGCGGACATGAAGCCCGGCATGAAGATTTGCTCCGAGGAGACGTTTGGGCCCGTGGCGGCGTTGTTTGCGTTTGATACCGAGGAGCAGGCTGTCGAGCTTGCTAACGATGCGGACGTTGGTCTTGCGGGGTACTTCTTCAGCAAGGACGTGTCGCGGTGCTGGCGTGTGGCGGAGGCGCTCGAGGTTGGCATGGTTGGCGTAAACATTGGTAAGTTGTTCAGTTGTGAGAGCATTTGATGGAAGACTTTTGCTAACGAGCTACTTCTAGGAGCAATTAGTGATCCCGCTGCGCCCTTTGGTGGCGTGAAGCAGAGCGGATTTGGCCGCGAAGGAAGCAAGTATGGCATTGACGAGTTTTTGGTCACCAAGATGGTTATGACTGGCATTGAATAATGCCGCTTTTCCTGTCATGATTTATTCTCTTTCTTAGACTATACCCTACCAAGTATCTTAGATGATAGAATAGAATACTTTTCCACGAAAAATGTGCCTTTCCTCATGACCACTGCCATTGGTATCCCCTGGCCCCGCCGGGAGTAGGAGTGATAGAGATAGAAGCAAGATATTGAGAGGAACTAGGGTAGTTTGTCACTCACCCACCTACCTTCTTTCACAGGTAGTCAAGCGTAGCTTACTCACAATGCTCTTGGTGTCATAATTCGAGAGGAATTGTAGTTTAAAGCCATCATTTTTGAAAGCCAAAAGGCCATCACGGTTGAAATGGTCATGATGAGAAAGAAAAATAGCTATTTCAGACCACAAACCTTACCATTAGTGTACCCCACTAGACCATTAAGGCGTGATTGACCCTTCCATGTGAAGAACACGCTTCTTTCTGGCTCTGGGAATATAAACTCATGAAGGTCATGACCCATATTCCAAGTAGGCTCCGTGGCTCCAATCCACTAATTTAAGATTGTGTATTGCAGGTTTATACTGACTTCCATCGGGTGTCAAAAGGTTCTCCTTTCTCTTTGAGATTCGCCCAGTCAAGCCACTCGGGTACCTTGGTCTTCCTTTCATTTTAGTCTAGTAGTCCAAGGATGGGTACCTGCTAGACGATAAAGGGGCATGAGGGAGATTTTCCTCCTGGTGAATCCCTATTATCCTGGAAGAACACAAAGAAAAGGTAGGCCATTCATTCATTGTCCAGTTGGTCACTTGCTGCCTGGATATGTGCCTTTTTGGCAAAACTCTCACCGAGCCACCTGTCACCCTCCCTTTGTGTTGACCTGGAGCCTCAGGCGAGAGAAAACCTGAAATCTCTTCACTGTAGGTAAAGAGGTCATTTTATCCATCTCAAAGTGGAGTCAGGTGACCTCTAGGCAGTACGGGAGGCAAAGTAAAGGACTTAGAGCCTTTCACGTTCCCGTCCATTTGAGAACCTTCTTCTAGCACCTTGGAGGCTGTAGGCAGATATTCTTTCTCCCTTCCAAAAAAATTCCTTCCTATTAATACTCGACCGGAACACCTCTTCTTTTGGTCCGATTTGCGCCACGCAAATTCTATTTCTTCTCAAATCGCGCGCCTCTTTCGGAAGATCACGCACAATTCGGTCTACTATCACATGACTCAACAGTCTCATCGCATGCGTGGTATCTGCATACAACACATTCAAGATGCCGCCAAAGGCTCCCATCCAGCAACCTGAAGTCTCTGACGATGATTCCGGTGAAGATAGCATCGGAGCCATCGAAATATCACCGACAAGCTTGGCGCAGCCAACGGAATCTCAACACAACCAGCCCCAACCTGGAGCTCAGAACGCCTCGACCCAACCAATTCCCATTCGCTTGACCAACCCAGTGAAATACTCGTCCGAGTACTCTACCTCTCCGGACTCAGCAACTCCATTCGTTCAGTCCATGACCTCCTCATACGAAGCACAAGCACCTTGGCCGTCGCGCGAGCATACTTCGCCTTCTGGGTCTGAGGATAGTCCGCCCAAAGGCAAGCAGCTGCCATCAACGGCCGAGCAGCCCCCCAAGAAGCAAGATGGGCCCTCGGACGAGCGACCTCAACCTCAACTGCAACCGGAACCGCAACCGCGATCAGGCGATCGACTTCCTACCAACACGAAGCCTGCAACCTCATCACAGTCACGAAATGTGCCTCTCATTGACGATAACAACCTGTCCAAAGACTTCAAACAATACGAGAAGGGAAGCAAGTTGGTGCTCACCTACCAAGCTCCGCGCCGACCTTACGGTCGTTCCGAGTATCCCAATCCTCCAGGCATCGACAGCGATGACAAAGTTCTGTCCGAAGCCGAAAAGCGCCTCTCTCGCACTGGCTTGGTCTATCACGACCGACATATCAGCAATCCTATTGTCGGCCAATACAAGGCCACTGTCCACCTCACCGTCATGAAAATCATATCCGGTGGGCCTGTTGCTGGCATCCAGGTCATTCTGTGCAAAGTTGACGAAGCCAATTACGATGACGGGATGTCTAAGAAACATAAAGGAACCTTGCTTCGAAGTGTTTCACTCTTGAGAACGAAAAGCACACGGGTGAAGAAGCGATTCGCCAGGTCCTCGATAGCGAACTTGTTCAGCCAGGAGAATGCGGGTAGTTCCTCTCTATCTCGAGAAACCGGGAGTAAGAAAGAACCAGACGTCGCCGGTAAGGCCCCAGTTGTGGAATCTCTCGACGGTGAACGCTTGACCGTGGGTCAGCTTGCAGTCCTCAAGGTGTACGATGCCATGTTCTACCCCTTCCAGTATGGAATGTATCAAGGGCCCTGGAAGGTGACATCTAGAGCCGATCAGGAGCATAGTCGCGAGGCCGGTGCTTATAAGCATCTCTGGACTCACAAGAAGACTGGATATCCACACCTTGCACCTCAATACTACGGATCCTGGGCCATCAAGCTGACGACTACAAATTCAGCTGTGAAGGACAAGCAACGATTCGCCAGAGCCATCATCATGGAGTATATTGAAGGCACCAGCATTGAGGAGCTTTGTTTCCGGACCGCCAAAGAATACCTTCTAGTTCCTCGAAACATGAAGCAGTGCAAGATGGCCGATGGCACCACTTGGGATCTTGATAGGAAGGTTCGCTTGGACGTCTTCAAGGAGCTCCTGGGAGGCTACGTAAATATGCTTCATCACGGGGT